TTAAAGCATTTGCGATCATTTTAGCTGAGCAGCCTATCATTTTCTGCACTTCTTTATATGTTTTCCCCTCTCCAATCAACTTTTTAATCAAGGTACGCGGTTCTTCTGAACAATGTCTGGAACAACCCATTTTCCTCAGAATTTCAGAGAGAAATGCACTGTAACCAGCATGTACAACATTTGCTGCCTTCCTTCCTTAAATAAGGGCAATAATTGCCACCTGTTTTTCAAAGAATGAATGACCTCACTAATAGCACTCCACACTGCTATTATTTTGAACATGCCCCCTTTCAATTAGTGATTCAATTACACAGAATCAGCAGCACGCATGTCATGACTGTTGGGTCTGTTGGATTTCTATTACTCTACTACACCTGCTAGTAAATTATTTGCCATGTAGAAATATCATTTCTACCAAAAAACAGTGATTGATCAGGTTAGTGATGTCTGACTGCTATTATTTTGAACACAACTGTATGTGATATATATATATATATATATATATATATTTTTTTTTTAAATTTAGCATACTGTCACCAGTCAGTATCCCTCATCACCGCCAGACCAGTCACATGATGACGCTGTATTGCACTGGTGAAAAAAAAAAAAAAAAAAAAAAAAAATTGGGGGAAAAGAAGTATCTAATTTCTTAATTTCCAAAAAAAAAAGTGACAAAAAAAAAAAAAAAAAAAAAAAAAAATCACAACTTCAAAAAACTTGCCACGCCTCTTACCAAATGCATCAGACTGTCTACTTTCAAAAAGAGGTCATTTGGGGGGTATTTGTACTGTCTTGGCATTTTGGGGCCTCAAGAAATTATGACTGATCAATTGTGAAATATACACACACCATATGTAGAGGATATAACTTTCACACAAACCAGTTAATATATACTTAAGATTTTTGTTTTACCAAAGACATGTGGCAGAATACATTTTGGCCTAAATTTATGAGGAAATTTGATTTTATTGGATATGTTTTTTTATTTATAGAAAGTAGAACATAGTTATTTTCCCAAAATTGGCAGTCTTTGTATGTTTATATAATCAAAAAAAATAAAAAAAAAACCCAGTGGTAATCAAATACCACCTAAAGAAAGTTCTATTTGTGTAAAAACAATTATATAAAAAAACTGTAATTTGCATAAAGTGTTGCATGATCGCACAAATCGCTAGTTAAAGTAGCGCAGTGCTGAAAAAAAAAAAAAAAAAAAAAGCTGTGGTCACGAAGGGAGTAAAACGTTCTGGAGCTCAAGTGGTTAAATATGTTTGTCTCTGTAGTACTTCCTTCACTGTGTGTTATGGATGAAGGCAGCAAATAAAATCTCCTTGTGTGATATGAATGAGTAATCTGGACTAGTAACAACCCAAGTTCCAAAAAAGTTGGAATGCTATGTAATATCTATATAAAAGCACAAATATTTTATTTTATACAGCATCCCAACTTTATTTAAATTCGAGCTGTAAAAACAAATAGGCTGTTGGTGAAATTTCACTTTGCAAAGAATACCACATCATGTGCAAGGATTTTACCATAACGAACACTTTCACCTTCTCCATTGCAAAGTGAACAGTTGTAAATCAACCCCTATGAGCGTAGATCATAACTGGGAACTCTTGAGATCCCACAACCTGGAGCCAAGATATTAAAAGCCAAAAGGTTCGCTGGTAGCCCCTGATAACTCACCTGATTGTTTTGATGGTACTAGATACAGAAAAAGGAAACTAGTAATAGGTATACCATAGAAAAACAATTAAAACATACATTCATCTGAAGCATATTTGGGAGTGCAGCAAGAACAAGTATGTGGGTTCTGAACAATACAGCAGCCATAGACATATGTACAGAATCTCAAACTGGTACTTTATGAGCCACTCCTCTTTATGTCACGCAACAGTCCTGTCACTGCTATAAATGCCAGTGACAGAATAACGAAGGCTCTATTCACACTAGGGCATTTTGAATAGTGGGCAGGAACGTCGCAATTCTGGACACAATTTCAAAACACTGCTAAAATCACAAACCTTGTGTTCGGGTGCCATTCATTTTAATAACACCTGAAAACTCAGTGCAGTTCTGCCACAGCTGTTGCGCAAAAACAATTGTGCTGAAATCCGCATCGTGTGAAGCATGTCACCCATAAGAAGTTTCTGAATTTCTTTTGGGCAAAACAGTGTAGTTTGATGCAACTGCAGCGCGATTTTCACGCGACAACTGTGGCACAACCACATTTAGTTTTCGGGTGTCATTAAAATGAATGGCAGGTGAACACACGGTTCTACGATTTGTCATTTTAGCAGAGCATTTTGAAATTTCAAAATGCAGTAGTATAAATGGGGCCTAACAGACCACTTGCTTTTGTTTACCCAGTTCCCCAGGGTGTCCATGGAAGTCCTCCCAGAACCACGCCCCCTGGGGCACACACTGGGCACGGTCTGTGATTGCTGTGTCCTTTGGACACAGCTGATCAAGGTAAAGGGCCAATCAGAGCAACCTATTACCATGTGATCAGCTGGGTCCAATCACAGTGTAAACGGGAAATGAGGGTTATGGGCAGTCCTCTCCGCTTGCCAACAGCACATAAGAGATCTACATTGATCATCAGGGCCCTGATGATCAGTGTAGCCCCATCAGTGCAGGTGAAGGAGAAAAATCACTTATTTACAAAACTTTATAACGGAAACTAAGAAACCTCCCCCCTTTGGTCTTTTTTCATTTGTTTAGCAAAAAAATAAAAACCACAGTGGTGATTAAATACCACCAAAATAAAGCTCTATTTATCTAAAAAAAAAAAAAAAAAAAAAAAGATAAAAATTGTTTGTGTGGTTACTGCAGCACCCCCTTGCTGTTTCAAAATGTTGCTGCCCCCTTGCTTCCAGCTAAGAAATACTATTGCTGGCAATCGTATTTTCCAAGGAGTTCTCAATAATAATAATAATAATAAAAAAAAAAAAAAAAAAAAAAAAAAAAAACAGCAGTATTGTAGCCACAAATATTACATCTAGGTTTCTCCTTAGGGGCACCAGATATAACCACACGCACAGTTTTTAAGGAACGGAGTTCAATGCAATTCAGAATATTTCTGATAACCCTCAAGTCCTACAATGCGATGTTGAATAGCATTACAGTTTTTTTCCCCAACTTGTATGTAAAGCTTATGTGCAGCGCAGAGCAATGCATTACATTGTGGCAGACCAATGTGCAAAAATGCAACATGTCCTACACTTTTTCCAACACATCATGGTATTGTGAACTGAAGCCATAGGGCATAAAGCAAATTTGCCTTGTTCGTGCATTAAAGGTTATGCTGCCCAACAGTGCCAGTGTGAAATAATCCCTCAATAGGACTAAGCATGGCAATCGTCCACCCAACCATAATCGCAAACAGTCATCCTTCCTTGATTCCATAAACTAGTAAAAGGTTTATTCAGTTAGGAATTCAGAAAGGAAGATTATTAGACTGGCAAGTGTGAAATCCAAAGAAAGAACAAGCGTGTTAAACAGAAGCCGCGGCACCATTGTTATTTGATTGAGGTTTATAATGTCATTCACTTTATGATTTTCAAGTGGGAATGATGCACAGAAATCTGAACATGTATTTGAACTGGAAGTGAATCTTTTCACATACCAAATATCTCATTTTACCCAGTTATTACAATGTCAGTTCTATAAAACTGATTATTTGCACAGGAAGTCCTCTTAGTTTAAATTAGAGCCTAAGTGAACCCATTTAAATCAGCTTGATTCATTCAAGGTGCATCAAAACAAAAAGGTGTACAAGTCCTACAGCATGATTTCTTTAGGCCAAATCCTAGGTTGAAAAGCCTGTTATTGTCCAGTTTTCTGTAGAGAAGCAGTGGTCTCTTTGCAGAGGTCCAGCACTCTCTGGGCGAGTAAAAGCTAAAGCTCTATAATTAGCAGAAAGCATGAGCTTTACATATTGGTCATTTTTAGCTGTGGTTAAACAAGGGTGTATCAGACCCCTGCAGAGAGGCCACTGTTTTCAGACAGAGAGCAAAGTCTACAGCATGGCAGGAGGCAGGCTTTTCTACTCAGGCTGTTGCTACTTTCTAAAGAGAAACATGCCCTTAGTTTTGATGTGCCTTGAATGTATTTAACAGATTTAAATTAAAGGTTTAAAATGTTATTCATGTAGATGGGTTCTGCCACATTAATTGCTCAACCGGAAAAAAAAAAATTTACTTTTATCTGAAACATGGTATTAAAAGTAGTTTTAAAAGGCAAAAATACTTTTTTTTTACCTTATTGGATTTCCTGAATTAAGGTAAAAAAAAAAAAAAAAAAAAGTCAAAAGCAGAACCCCCAAGGCCCCCCCTAAGGACTTATCAAAATCCATGCTAGATCCAGAGTTGTTCTGTCTGCATCACCTCTTCTCCCCCTTCTCACAGGAGTTGGCTAAGAGCAGTGGGAGCCACCGGATCCTGCTACTGTCAGTCAAATCCTGTGAGGAGGGAGATATTGGTGGGGGGGGGGGGATAGAGCCATGCTGTATGTACATCAGCCCACACATCTGCCTCATGACAAGCACTTGCTCTGGAGACAGACTCAGAAGAGGAAGAACAAAGAGTGTAGACCCCAGAAGAAAGAGGTTTGGGGCTGCTCTGTGCAATACTATTGCACAGAGCAGGTAAGTGTAATCTGTTTTTTTTTATTTTAAAACAGATTTACAAATCACTTTAATACATCTCTACCAATTACAGTATAACATCTGGAACCCAAATGGAAAAACCTCACATTGTATAAGTAATGTATATATACAGAGCAAAACAATGAAGTTGTATATCAATGCAAAAACAAGGTCTTCAGGGTTTTAAGAACATCTTTATAATAAAAACTCACAGTAGCTACTTCATAACTCACTTTTGTTTCAAGATAAGGCACATAGGGCCCAAAATGTAACATGCTGGAATAGTCCCCTTCTGCCTTTCAGCAGAAACATCCAAGTTCATACAGTTCAATGCAAGGTAAAAGTTGAAGATCTAGATCTCATGTTTGCGATTTGGATACTTCTTTAGCAATTTGTTTACTTTATCTGCTGGAAGCAGGCCTGCTGGAACTTCTTCATGCGAACCCGCATTTCGATCAGCCTGCAAAAATTTGGAACAAAGTTATTAGAAATATAGTGGAAGAAATTGTGATACATTGTATTGTAATTCATTAATTCAAGGACTACAAAATGCTGTTGAATTAGTCATGATGTATGGTTTTATTCTTGCTGTCATACAAAGAAATTTGTGATTTTCATGTATTTCTTTGACAGTTATGTTCTTACAATGATCTACAATGTGCTTCTAAAAAAGTCACAGCTACATACATAAAATATTGAGGTTGTTGAGATTCCTTTGGGATATTGGCACGTTTAAAGTGATACTAAAGGTTTAGCTTTAAAAAAAAAAAAAAAAAAAAAAAAAAAAAGTCATATTTACCTGCTCTGAATAATGGTTTTGCAAAGAACAGCCCCAATCCTCTTCTCGGGTCCCCTGCTGGTGTTCTTAGCCCCTTTCCCCTGCTGAGTGCACCCAGAGCAAGCTTTGCTCACTCCTGAGTGGTCTGTGTATGTTCATAAGACACGTCCCCTCCCCCTGTTCCCTCACTGGCTGTAAAAGACAGCAGCCAATGTCTCCTGCTGCAGTGTCTCAGGAGGGAGAGACCTGGGAGAGCCGCTGCTCTTGTGCACAAAGCTGGATCGGGACCAGGTTCGGTTAAGTATTGGGGGGGGGGGTGAAAAAGGCGCTGCACACTGAAGGTTTTTACCTTCATGGAGGATGCATGAAGGTTAAAAAACCTTCAGCCTTTACAACCACTTTAGGCATGTAGCAATCCACTGATTATATGAGTTTATGCTACATATCTGTTTACATGTCAGAGGAAGAACAGGACTGAGAGCTGCAGGTCTCAGACACCAATTCTTCGGTGATGTTTCTGGTCCCCTGTTCTCCTGGCCATTCACAAAATGAAGCTTGGGACTGTATATATTGTGAATGGCCTGGAGAACAGGGATGTAGAGACAATGCTGGTGTCTGAGACCTGCAGCTCTCAGTTTTGTTCTTCCTCTGGCATGTAGAGTGTGCTGGAAGCAGAGTGGGGGCTGAGGTTGCTTTTGTGGGAACTGAATCTAGAATTGCTTTACGGGGGGGTAATATTATTGTGCTCGCAGCTGGGCTTTATATCCCCTGTCAAGTTTTAATTGCGGTCTTTGTTTCTATTGGGGACACTTCTTATTTAAAACCACCCCAAGTTGAAAAGCACAGACAAAAAACACATTTTAGTTCAATGAGAGGAATGCTGAGAACTTCTAGGTTTTTAATACTTTCTGTGCCTTCCTGTATTAATGCCAACCACATCCTCATTTTCCTGTACTGGTGTCACAGAGACAAAGTAGGAAATACTCTCCAAGGGAAGACAGACAAATAAAAAAAAATATATATTTTTAGTACATGGTTTAACGCAGAATATTTTTTTCTAAGTCTTTGGATAGACTTAGAAGCACATACTGTACGTCTGTCAAACTGTTATTTCAGACCATGACTCTGTTGGGGAGATTTCACCTCACTTCCTGTCCTTCTGATAGAAAGATGTTCTAATCCCTCCCAATGTTACTGAAAAATGGCAACATTTTTAGACAGCAAAACATGGCAGAGGTTCTATCATTTCCCTGCTCTGTACAAAGCTGGAGTTGGGTTTAGAGCATATATATAACTAAAACATTTTTCTTTAGTCTCAGAGTACGGAACAGTAAGAAGCCTATCAAGTTGTGTCCCTTCTGGGTAGATCTGCCCTCTCCATTTGCTCTGGTGATCATGGTCACTGGGACAGAAAACAATGGAAAGCCTAATTTTTGCGGCCAATAACACAATAAAATATTTAGGAACAAAAGGCAAAAAATTTGAGTCAATATAAAGTTAAAAAACATATGCAGAAAATAAACTATGTACCTGTGCTTGTGCCACACACTTGTAAAAAATATTGATTTCATTAGAACAGATTTTGTCACTGAAAGTATTTTCTTTCCAGCATGCCATCAATACTGCCATCTCACTTAGACAGGATGCCTCTGTGTGACAGAAGACAAAATTAAATCACAGACACATTACACACTCCTGTACCTACAACCCTGTAGCTGTAAATCTGCAGTGCGAGATGTAAGGCACTGTGCCTCTGACTGCGGGTCTCAGAAGATCCAGAGAGATTTGGTGAGGTCACTCATGTACTGCTCACAGTTTTCCTTTAGCCCTGGTTCACATATATGCGGCCGTGAGGGACGCGTTTTGCGCAGGCATGAGAGCAGCATTTGAATGGACTCCCATGCCCAGTGACACGCAGGGAAGAAGTCCCTGCACTTATTTTGGAAAATGCAAAAAACAAACCTCGGTTCCCAGTACAGTTGCATTTTCCAGTGCGGGCAGTGTGCCCATTAGAACTAATGGCACCCGCCCACGGGTCCGCATTTCTCTGTGCGGCTGCACGGATTTTCGTGCAGATGCGCAGCGGCACCACCTGCATATATGAACCAAGCTTTAACGGTATATTCACACTTGCAAATGCACCCAGGCTGTGATTAGATGGGAGTATCCCAGTGGGGGTTACTGAGATTAGCAGCCCCACTGAAAGTAATGGGAAACTGCCAGCTGGCATAGCTAATCTCGCCCTCACCGCTCACACAGCAATCACATGCAAACGATTGGCCCTAGACACAACTTCTCACATCCAGGGACGATCACTGGGGGGGGTGGAGGGCGGACGGCGGTGGTGGCACGACAGATGGGGGGTGGAGGGCACGGCGCGGTGGCACGTACACAGATGGGGGGGTGGAGGGCGGACGGCGCGGTGGCACGTACACAGATGGGGGGGTGGAGGGCGGACGGGCGCGGTGGCACGTACACAGATGGGGGGGGTAGGAGGAGCGGACGGCGCGGTGGCACGTACACAAGATGGGGGGGGGGAGGGCGGACGGCGCGGTGGCACGTACACAGATGGGGGGGTGGAGGGCGGACGGCGCGGTGGCACGTACACAGATGGGGGGGTGGAGGGCGGACGCGGTGGCACGTACACAGATGGGGGGGGGTGGATGGCGCGGTGGGTACACGGACGGCGCGGTGCGGGCACGTACACAGATGGGGGGGGTGGACGGCGGGTACGGCGGCGCGGTGGCACGTGGTGGCACGTACACAGACACGGAGATGGGGGGTGGAGGGCGGACGGCGCGGTGGCACGTACACAGATGGGGGGGTGGCACGTACACAGATGGGGGGGAGGGCGGACGGCGCGGTGGGCACGTACACAGACTGGGGGGGGCACGGTGGCACGTACACAGATGGGGGGTGGAGGGCGGACGGGGCGGTGGCACGTACACAGATGGGGGGTGTAGGGCGGATGGTGCGGTGGCACGTACACACAGATGGGGGGTGGAGGGCGGATGGTCACATGTACACAGATAGGGGGTGTAGGGCGGACGGTGCGGTCGCACATATGCAATGTGATGTCTGGACATTACTCCGTGTCATAATGCAGACAGTGTCCCCTCTCACCTGCTATCTTCGCCTTCCGGTTGGACACCCTATCCGTGAGCTCCAGCGGCTTTTTGGGGACCAGAATCGGCTTCCCAAACCTCCGGCTCAGAAGTCTGGCCACCTTGGCCTGCATTATAACCCCCTCCGCCGCCATGACAGTCAAGGACACCGCGGAGGCTTATGGGACGGGAAGCTGTAAAGCTCCGAGACGGGAGACGCCCACCAACTCTTTGACGTCATCGCCGCTCATCTCATATCAGATTGTGAATGGTAATCCCGGAATCTGCATCCATAGAGGATAAACCGGAGCTATGCCTGTGCAGTGTTCGGTAGAGCGCCCTCTGCTGACAGCGAAACTACCCTCATTGTAGACCTACACACATACCAAAGTACCTGGAGGATAGCCGACAAACACAGGGAGGATATGCAAACGCCATGCATGTATTGTGGTTGAGATTCAAAGTGAGGATCTTGGTGCTGCAAGGCAGAAGTGCCAACCACTAAAGATTGCGCTAATTATTGTGAAAATCAGTCTCATCACCAGTAATACTTCTCTGGTAGACTTGTGCAAATCTATCGGCAGTTTAGGATTACAGGCAGGGTGTGCAAATACACAGGAAAACTGTCACATAGAATGCTGAGGGAGAGGCAGCCTGATTTAAAGTGGTTGTAAACCTCAGATATGAAATATGAACAAAGCACATCCCTCTATAGTGTGTCTTTGTCTCAATCCAGAGCACTCAGTGTCATTTCTGTCTGCATCCTAGTTCTTCTGCTATCTGCAGGAGTCCCTTCTGACATGTTTTTCTGACACCAAGAGAAAAATGGTGACAGAAGAGAGCACAGCCTGTGATTGGCAGCCTCAGCTCTGTTCCTGTCTGTCTTCTCCCTCCAATCAGCTCTCAGAGCTCTCTTCACTGATGTAACTCCAGCTCTTCTCCCCCATTCTCTTTAGAGCTGAGAGATCCTGTGTAAATTCTGCACTTTGAATGGATGTAGGGGAAATATAGCTATAGATAAACAGGTACAACTTATGCAGGAAGATATGTTTCATCTCCGTGCATCATCCGTGCAGTCCAGTCACTCCACTGGGTATATGTGAGGGTTTACAGTTACTTTAATTTGCAAAATGTCTCCCAAACTATTTGCAAAACTTTTAACCAGCTTTAAGCAACTTTCAGCCTCACTTTGGGAATGAGCACAGACGCACCATCCATTCACAGGGATCTGTGGAGGTTTGGACTCTCAGAACTCCATGGAACAGATGTCACGGCACTTGTAATTCATTGTTTATTTTTTCCAGTTTATAATGGTAGGTCTGTAACTCCGTACGGACCTAGAGCTGGGGAAGAGTTTAGGTAGGGGGTGAATAACGGAAAATGGAATTCAAATACCGTAATTTTCCTTTCCTGACGAGCTCCATGGCAGCACAGCTGGGTGAGGCCCCGCCCACCCCCTGCCTGATCAGGACGTCACTCAATAAATTTTTGACCCACCTCAGCCTAGGCGTTCTGTAACTCATACTACCAAACTGGGTGGGATTTGTGCTGCCATGGAGCTCGTCAGGAAAGGAAAATTACGGTAAGTATTTGAATTCCATTTTCCTTATGGCTCCATGTCAGCACAGCTTTGATTTAACTAGCTACAGATGGGAGGGTAATGCAAAACCAATTTAATTTTGACTGGAAGCAGAGACCAAGACACCCCTGCCAAGATCAGCAGTATTCAAAGCCGCAAGTTCTATACAATAATGAGTCATGAAGGTATGAACAGAAGACCATGTAGCCGCTTTGCAAATTATTTCCATGGAAACTCAGCCCACTGCTGCCCAAGAGGTTGAAACCCCTCTAGTGGAATGCGCTGTAACCCCCTCAGGCACAGGCAACCCTCTCATTCTGTAAGCTAAAGAGATGGTCTTGACCATTCATGTAGCGATTACTCTACTAGAAGCTCTCGAGTCTTTCTGTGCACTGTTAGTAATGGTGAAAAGATCTGACTTCCTGAGCTCGGCAGTAGCGTCGACATAGTCTCTCAATGAATGCCCAACATCCAGTGGACTTGGGTCCTGGGAATTTTCCGAATGGAGCACCGGGAGTGTAATATCTTGCATTATGTGAAACCTGATGGCAACTTTGGGTACAAATCTTAGCATTGGTCTAAGCACGACCCTCTATGGAAAGAACAAAAGAAAACCCTAATGCTGCCTGTTCCGAAACTCTTCTGGCTGATGTTATTGCCACGAGAAATGTTGTTTTCAGAAAAAGATGCCATAGTGAGACAAGATGATTGACGGTGTCCGATGCGAGGAAGTCCAACACCAGAGGCTCGGAAGGTCTTTGGCGGATAGCTGCCTTAAAGAATTGAACCACTAAAGTGTCCTGTAAAAGCCAAGAGGGCAGAAATGGGAGCCTTCAGAGTACTCACAGACAGACCCATATCCAGCCTTGCCTGGAGGAATTCTAATAAGTGGCAGACTCTCGGGTTATCTGGCGCAAAGCCATGCCTGTTTGCAAATTCCAAGAACTTGCTCCATATCCTGCTATAGGCTGTGTTGGTGCTGTCCTTTCTGGCTCTCATCGAGGAATCTGTGACCTTAGCCGAGTATCCTAGATTGATCAGACTTTGCCTTTCAAAACCCAGGCCGTCAGGCTGAGCTTCTCCAGAACGGGGTGCCGAATGAGCACCTGCATGAGCAGATCCAATGTCACTGGCAGAGGGTATGGTTCTCTGATGTTCAATGAATGGAGTGGTGGGTACCAGGGTTTCTTCGGTCAATCCGGTATTACTGACAGAACCGTCACCCTCTCCTGGTGTATTCTGCGCAGCTAGCTGAGAATCACTGGAATTGGGGGGAAAGCGTATGCAGTCTTGAAATTCTATACCACGGTCAACACATCCACCCCCATAGCTTGTGGGAGATTGATCCTGGAGAAAAAAAAACGAGGTAGTTTGGTATTCTCCGGGGAAGCAAACAGGTCTGTCTCCGGGTGAAAGGCACATGCCACTAGGCTCCGAAAAACTTGAGGTGATAGGACCCACTTGTTGTCCAAACTCGTTCTAGATAGATAATCTGCCTGGGTATTCAAGCAACCAGGCACATACATTGTTGTTAGCAGTTGTAAGTTGGCTTGGGCCCATTCCATAATTGGAGTAACCTCCCTCAGAAGAGGTATGCTGTGGGTGCCCCCATCTGCGTATGTAATAACCGCATACATTCTATTGCAAGAAGGTAGAGCCTCTCCTGGGCTATTGGGATCGTGTTCAGGATGCATGACATCTTGTCCTTCGGTAACACCACTGATGCTGCCTGAGTGTTCACTTCTGTGCCTTGGTACACCAGGTTCTGGGTTGGCACAGGGTGACTCTTCTCCCGGTTGATTAACCATCCAAAATTCTCCAGTGTCTCCATGGTTATCTTCCGGTGTGACAGAAGCTTCACTCAGGTACGCCACTAGGGCCAGAAAGGCTGCCCCACTGCAAACCATAGAAATTTCTGGCAGATTGGGGCTACCAGTACATGGCAATACATGTCCTTGAGGTCCACTGATAGAAGCCAATCTCTATTCAAAAAGACTTCTGGGACTCCTATCCTAGAGACGAAGCGGGTCTCTTCGACTTGCGGTTTGCAGCCGTGTTAGACCATTAATGACAAAATTCTTTCCCTGGCCTGTAAAACTTAGCATCTCTTCCTCTGGTCCTTGGCAAATTTTTGTATGCGGCACCCTCTGCAAAGCAGCCTCTGATCCTGGGGAATAAACCCCGACTTCCCCCCTGTAGCTTTTGTGATGGCAGTGTCTAATTTATTTCCAAACAGGGACTACCCTTCAAATGGTATCTTACACCATCCTTGTTTGGAGGCTCAGCCATAGGGCTCTTCTGGCAGTTACTGCATTAAGTATGATCCTGGCCAACATTAGGTCAATGGATGCCTCCACCATAAAAGAAGCCGTTAGCTTCAAATTGGCAAAGGAGGCCAAGACCTCGGCTTTGCTCAGGTCACTTCCTACTGCCACTTCTAACTTCTAAACCCAAGACTCCATGGCCTTTTAAATAGCCACCAAAGCCATAGAAGGTCTACACACCCCACCAGCAAGTGTGCAGATCTTTTTAAGATCCACATCCACTCTTCTATCCAACACATCCCTGAATGTTACTGCGTCATCAAGCGGAAGGGTTACGTGTCTAGCGAGGCGCATAAGTGCTGTGCCCACCACTGGGGGCTCCTCCAAACTTTTAATACTCTCAGACTTGAAGGGGTATAGCTTTGCAAACCGATTCTTAAAAGTGATTTTCTTATCCGCTTGGTTCCACTCATCAGTATTTATGTCCTGAATTTCTTCCATGAACGGGAAATTGACTCCCTCCTTTTTCATCTTCGTGAAAAACTTCCTCTGCTTCTTCTGCATCTTTCCAAAGCAGAGCCTGCTTAATCTCTTTCACGAAAGGCTGGACCAAGTCATTGCAGCCCTTTACCTTCTCCAAGAAAACAGCGTCTGAGGCCAAAGGTTCCTGGGCCTCTGGAATCACCTGACTAGCTGGCGGCATCTGTGGAGACAAGGAGCGTGAGGTGGACGGAACTCGAGCGGCTGAAGCCTACGACTGCAATGCAAACGCCTTTAGCGTCTCCTCAAATGTCTGCTTCATTAGAGATACCATCTCCACCTTATCCAGTTCTTGGTGTTTGGTTGCTTCTTTGAAGCAAATCTCACAAGCTGTCTTGCCTGGCATGGCTGTTCTAGGGTATGCCCAGCATCCTCCTTCTCTGGGAATGTTGGTCCTCCCATGTAGATGACCGACTCCTTCTCCTTTCTGAGCTTCTTTCTTCTGATCATTGGGAAGGATCATGACCAAGGCCCGAGGAGCTGGGGCAGCATAGACAAAAAGAAAAAATTAGTCATTGACACAAAGGACAACAAAAAGAATATACGCATCTGACGACATCTCCCCTACCTTCTTTAAGAGTGCTGGTCTTTAGAGGGGGTAGGCATGTTATAAAAAAGAAAGAAAAAAAACAAAAGCATGAAGCAGAGCAATACAGCAGATAGAACTACAGGAGCACAGCCTTGCAGGTGCAAAGCATGCCTGGAGGAGAGAGAGGGAATACCAGGCACAGGCAGGCTGCAGGAGCACACAATCACATAGAAGCCAGATGCT